TAAATTTTTTAACCTTTAAATTTTAGATAAAATATTACTCCTATCAATTTTTTTATAAACCTAAAATAATTAGGGACAATTTCAATTTAATCTTCTTTTAATAGATTTTTTTCAATGTAACCTCCTAGACCTGGCCTGTACGAGACGGCCAGATATAACGGATTACAATGAAAATTTTCAAAACATTTTCAACTCTTTAAAAATTTAAAACCCCTTTTAAAACATACTTACAATAGAAAAATCCAAATCGGATAATGTAAAACATAAAATACCACAAGTGATACAAAATATCAATAAACCAATGACATCATAATCCATACATCATATCGCTAGGAAATAAACCATTAAATCGGTGTATCAAAATATAGGCACATGTCATCAAAATAAAGCAGTTTAAAAGATTAAAACATTACAACAAAATATATTGTTCGGAATGTGTCGATCCTCCAAGTGTCGGTCTGGGTACCTAACCAAAATATCTGAAAGGGAAAAGATATGGGAGTGAACTGGGGAGCTTAATGTGTTCCAACGGTGCAACGTAAAACATACAGATAAATTTTAAAATCAATTCAATTTCACAGTATGAAAATAGCAGTACAGTTTTCATTAAAAGTATCATACAAATGACAGTAAGGTTTTTATATTAAAACATATAGTTACCCTACAGTCGAACGCCAAATACTCGCCAGAACTATATTCCATAAGAACTTATCCTAGGCCAAAAAGATATAGGAGCCAACTTGAGGGAGCACTTTGGGTTCATAAAGATTTACCCTAGCTGAAGCGCAGGAGTAACCTGATGGGAGTGCCCACAGGTCCATAAGGACTTACCACAATGCACAAAGTAAATGAGCACCCTATAGGAGTATTGCATGGTCCATAAGGTCTTACCACTAGGCCTATTGGGCTCAAGAGCCCACCCAAGGGTCATCTTAAGTCCGTAAAGAATTACCAATTGGATCAGAGCTGAACCTCCAAAGCTTATAAAGTACATCCATAACCCTAGTGAAAAATAATTTCAGACAGTAATAATCATTAAGGGAATCAGAGGTCAGACATTTTTCAGTTAACAATAACCAGAGTACAGGTATCAGACAAACATAAATTTAAAATCAGTAAAATATAGGTCAGAGATTCATGAATTTAGTAAATCAGAATCAAGCATTTTCAATCATGTAAATCAGTCATGTTTCCAAATCAGATAAAATACTCATATGCAATTGATAATTCAAATCGATATTTAAAACAAATATATAGCACACAAGGAACATACCTCGCAAAACAGGTCGATCTGAGAGATTTACTAAACACAAGTCTTGCTATGAACAAAAGCAGTACACGTCCCCAAATCAGATCAAAACAGAGTTACTAACGAAATAAAGTACTAAACAAAATATTTAACAGATTTTTAGAATTATACTAATAGTCACGGCTCACACGATCGAACGGATCGAAAAGAGTTAGGTCGAACAATTGACGAGTCGAGAGAAATATAGGTACCTATCATAACCAAAGTGGTAAATCAGTCCTTATCAATTTTTTAATTTTCCTTAAACAATTTAATTAAAGTAGCTATGCAAGTTCATATTCAGAGGTTAATTCGGAGGCTTTCGGGTTTGAAATTGGCAAAATGAACTTTCGATTCGGACTCATGACATTGAAAATCATAAAATAGGGGTCTTAAAAAATTCTGACTTTTTTTTTCAAAGTCAACGATTTAGGTTAAAGGTCAACGAACAAAACGGGTTGACTCGATTGACTCTAGTGAGTTAACTCGGTTGACTCGAACGAGTTAACTCAGTCAACTAGAAGACTCGACAGAACAACACCCACTCACGACAGTGGTACATGGAGGCACGTATGACGAGCGATGGGGATAACAGTCGAACACTTCGAAGATAATTTCAACGCCAAAATAACAAATTTCGAATCAAATTATCAGCCAAAACATAAAGGAATAACCGAAAAAGAGAATCGAGCTCACCCACCGATGACGACAAAAGGAAAGATGGCGGTAGAAAGACCCAGTGGTTGGTTTTGATCGAAAAGCGTCGGGGAGTTCGATAGTAGCAGTGATGAGATGAAAGGATGCATATGGTGGTCGAAAATCGCGAAAATAATGGCGGCGAAAAGGTTCTGACAAAACTTCAATCGACGATTCACGATGTTCTACGATGAGTCACAACGAGTGACCGGTGGGGTTTTGTTCGGGACTTTATGACACTCATGCTGCTAAGGGCGGTGACGCTCATTGTCGAACATCGATGGAGATTAGAGGTAACATGTTTTGAACGCTCTTTTGTTGTTTCGTGCATAACGGTGGTGGTTTCAGGTGGTTGATGGTCGGGGTTAGGTTCTCTAGGTGTCGTCGATGCATGTGGTGGTGGCAGTGTGCGTCAGCGCTTGCTGAAGACAATTGATCGGAGCTTCAACGCCAAAAGTTTGGGAGAATCGAGTTTCTAAAGCTTTGGTTCGTAACCAAAGGACCATTTTGGTTTGGTTGCATTAACTGAGATGGAGGATAAAATAATATGATTTATGAATATATTTTTAATAGCATATACAACTACAATCACCTAGTCTAGTTGTAGAGGTTGAGTGACCATGTTATAGGTTATAACAGGTTCGACACTCACTAGCCTATTTTCCTTTTTTTATAACAATTAACCAAGGAATGGAGGGTAAAACAAGCCCCAAGTCCGTTAATTTTCCTTGAGTTACAAATCAATCTCCAAATTCTAATAAAGTGTTGATTTAATCCTAAATTCTAAAATTTCCAAATTCAAGTCCCTTACAACTTAAGGAAAACTTTTAGCCCCAAGTTTCGGATGTGACACTCAAACTCTATCTTGCCCATTTATGCCACACATCTAGAGGTGGCAAACGGGTCATTCGGATTAAGTTTGGGTCAGATCATTTCGGGTCAGATTATTTTAGGTCTAGATTACATTCAGTTTAATTTTGTTCGGATCTACTTCGGATATAGTTTGGGTGTACGGTAAATCAGGTTGGGTATCGGGTCGGGTCAATTTTTGAGTCATGTTAATTTTCGAGTCTGGTGATTATCAGATTAGTTTTTTCGATTTGTATCAATATTGGATCAGTTGATTTTTGGGTCGCATCAATATAGAGTCAGGTCAATACTGGATCGATTATATTTCAAGTCAGATCAATATCAGATCGGTTGATTTTCAGTTTCGATCAACCTTTAGATAATGTCAATTCAGGTTGAAGTCGTTAAGAGTCTCATCAAGTATATATAGAATTATTAATTGTTAATCTTATCATTTAAGCCTAATTTTAGATTGAATTCAATAGAGTTATTGTAAAAATATATATATTATTGTTTGTTAATCTTATCATTTAGGCTTAATTTCAATTTTTTATCGTTCAATATTTTGAATGAAACCATTATTTAGAGATGATAAATCGATATTTTGACATAAATACGATCCTATAATGCGTTTTAGAGCTTGTTATCAAAATTTTATATTGATCTTGTATGGAAAATTTATATATTTGATAAAGAAATAATTGTTTATTAAAAATTTTATTTCCAATTTTAATTTTAATATTTTTATTAAATGTTAAAAAAATAACACATAACTTTATTTGTTAAATTTTAGTCGTAACATAAGTAAACTTTATATTATTTTTATTATAAATATACTATTTTTCCCTTTGATTTAGTTGTTTCTATTATTTTTATTATAAATCTAATATTTTTATTTCAAGAAAATTAAATAAACCTTATTTGTAACTCTTTTGATATTACAATAAAATTCTTACCTTTATATTTCTCTCAACATAAGTAAACTTTATATTATTTTTATTATAAATATATTATTTTTTATTACAAGTAAGATAAGTATGTTTTTTAAAGTAAAATAAATAAACTTTATTTGTTATTGTTTTCAACCTTACAATAAGATTTTTACTTTTGGTTCGGGTTGTTTTCAGATCGGGTTAAAATTCGGTTTGGTTTAATTTTGATTGGGGTTACTTTCGGTTCGAGTTAATTTTGGTTTAGGTTAATTTCAGTTTCAGTTTAGGTTAATTTCGGTTCGGGATGCTTTCGGTTTTTTTAAATTTTGGATTAGGTATGGTTCGGGTCGAGTATCAATCAAATTTAATTATCATGTTCGAGTTAATATCAGATATTGGATCAGATAAATCAATTCTAATAATCAGGTTTGAGTCAAGTTCACTAGGTCTACGTACATCCTATTATTGTTTAAGAGTAACAATTTATAAGGAAACATAATATAACTAAATTTATAAGAAGATTATAATTAATATTCTATTTAAATTCAAGAGTTAAAATAAAATTTGAATTTTAATTAGTGTTTCATAATCAATTAATAACATTTAATGTTTTATTAGTAAAAAAACAATAAAATAAAATAAACTTATTAATCTAGAGTGATTACAAGTTATAAACATTCTTTAGAGGTTCTTAATTATTTAACAATAAATGTTCAAATGCTCTATCATCCTCGAATTAAAAAACTCTAAAAATTATAACTATGATTTTAAACATAGAGATAATTTGATTCGGTTCCAAAATTTTTAAATTTGATGTGAAAAATATAAAATATAGATATTCATTTGATAATTTTCCAAGAAATTAATAGAAAATTTTCCAATGTGGCCCACAGGAGTTATAGGTGAGGTGTCAAAGCACCTATCTTTTATCCAATGCAAATTTGAAACCGTCCTTCACTTGTGCAAAACCTAAGTTTAGAAGCCACGTGTCACAAAAACCACAAAGTCGTCATCACGTGTACCTCCACGCCACCATAAAAACCACCAAAGTTTAAAAAGTAAAAAACGCACGAATCAAACCTTATCCAATACGTTTTCAACTTTTAAAATATTTCCAATCACAAGCATCATCAACCGTTAGATTCACAACCAGACAAATAAGATCAACGGTTGAGCTCGAACCTCAAACCTTAAAATAACCAACAGAAACGGCAAATCCTCAGCAAAGAAAGAGCGACAAAGTAAGGAGCATTTTTGCTTTCAACTTCAAGAGAGAAGAGCTAAATACGTTTTTTTTTTTGTGTGTTTTAATTATCGTTCTGGAATTAAACAAAGGGTTCGATTTCAATCTGGATTTGGGCTTCTGTTGTGGGAAATAAGCGAAAAAAAGTTAAGCATGGCTGAAGTTTTGGGGAAGACGAATCTGTTTACAGCTTGTAACCATAGCCAGAAGAAGAATCAAGAAATTTCTAGGAAAATTTCTGGGTTTTGTTTAAAAGAGAGTACTTTTCCTTACTTGAAAATGAAATATCAGGCTTTGAGGAGTGATTTTAAAGGACAAAGAGTGGTTTTTTTAGAGAAGAAAAGTGTGATTGATAGAAGGTTACGTCAAGTTCCCATTAAAGGACAGGTTGGTTTAATTTGTTTCTTTTCTTTCTTCCAATTTTTAGATCTCTTTTTTGGTGAAAAAGCTATGGCTATCTTATTATATTTTATATGTTCCAGATGCAAACTGGCCTTATTGGTAAAACCCAGAAATGGTGGGAGAAGGGAGTTCAACCAAATATGAAAGAAGTGAAATCTGCACAAGATTTGGTAGCCTCTCTTTTGAATGCTGGGGATAAACTTGTTATAGTAGATTTCTTCTCCCCTGCTTGTGGTGGCTGCAAGGCTCTTCATCCCAAGGTATAAGAACATGCTTTTGAAAGCTTATATATGTATTTGTATTAATACTAGTGGATTTGGCAGATCTGCCAATTGGCAGAGATGAACACAGATGTGCAGTTCCTTCAAGTGAACTATGAGGAGCATAAATCCATGTGCTATAGCCTTAATGTACATGTTTTACCTTTCTTTCGGTTCTATAGGAGAGCTCAGGGGCGTTTATGTAGCTTTAGCTGCACCAATGCCACGGTTAGTATCCTTGTCTTTAGCTGCAATTTTTTCCTTCCTGTTTTGTATCTTAAGAATGTTGTTTGTGGAGCATTGCCCTGATATGTGTTGTAATTACAATGATAATTGCGCAGATCAAGAAATTCAAAGACGCATTGGCCAAGCACAAACCGGACCGATGCAGCCTAGCGCCGACCAAAGGTCTTGATGAGAAGGAACTTGTGGCATTAGCTGCCAACAAAGACCTTTCCTTCAACTACACACCGAATCCAGTTCAAGCAGCGGAAGAGAAAGAAAAGCTCCCTCTTCCACTGCCTGTGGCATCTTTCGAGCCGAAAGAAAGCGCGGAAGAGACCTTGGTTGGTGCTGCGAGATGAAATGTGGTTTGAATTTTTTGCCAACCCCATTGCACTCCCTATCGACACTGTACAGTCACAATAGTTCTATTTTCATGTTCTTGTTAATGTTTCAGATGAGGAACATAGTAGAGTTTTTTGGATTTAGATTTTTTTGGGATCCAAGCCTGCTAGAAGAGCAACAAGCTATGTATACTTTAGGTTCGTTGTGATCGTTAAAAAAGAGTGAATTATAAAAATCATGCTCTAATCTATTGTGTGGCTAATATTAGAGGCAGTTTTATAAAGTAGTTGGGATATATAGTTGGAATGGGCATCCTGAAAATGACACGACTCGAAATAAGATAAGAGGTATGCATTTGCGTACTGAAAGATATCCGGTACTGTACTGGGGGGAAAATATCTACCGACTTTTGATGGTGTACAACTCATGGAAGCTTCAAGAATTGTCCTTTGCAAGGATACTTGACAATCATCTTCAACCACTGGTTAAAGTTTGCAGCAATTATTACAAGGACAGAAACATCTACAAAGCATCCGAACTGTGAAAGTAATGCATTTTTCAAAGTTTTTGTTATGTTTACATGTGTTGAGGGCATATCCGCTGAAATCTTTCCTGCTGGAAAGCAAAATCCCAATGCCACCGCTTGGGCTGCTCAACTCTTTCTCTCTTTGAGATTAAATATTTATTGGAAATAGCTGTTACTTGATGTTCTCATAAATGTTTGGTCTAAAATATGTTCTATTTTTACGAGTGAAGGCTTTTCTAATTTTTTTGTGAAGGAGATGCAAATGTTTGGATGCTTCAAATCTAAAACATAGGCAAAATCAGTGGAATAATGCTGTGGAAAAAATATTCATGGAAAAAAATATTCATGGAATAATGCAGTCCATGAATTATTTTTTCATTTGGGTGATTGTTACAGTAATTCACGAGGTCACGAGCAGCTCCGAACGATCAACATAGGTTGTCAAGTACTTCGAACGATTTCTATAGGTCGCAAATACTTCTTCGGCTAAAAACTTAATTACCGATATAGTTAATCTTTGTTACTTAAAAAAATTTAAATAATCATCGTTAGGAACATATGACGACCAACATAAGTCATTTAGAAGATATAACGACCTATAAAAATTGTAGCATTCATTCTATAAGAGAAAATAAACCTTACCTACATTTCTCCTTTTAAATAAAAACTAATCCCTAAAACTTAAATTAGAGTTTTTTCATTAAACTTAGCAAACCAGCTCAACTTTTCATTCAACTTCCATGTAGATTGGTGAAGCTATGCTTTCCACTTTTATTGGAATCTCTTGGGCTGGTTTTAGAGTGCTAGCAATTGTGAGTCTGCAATGGAAGCTACGAAAAAACCATGGAAGCTACTGTAGTAGGTTTCAATGGAATGATTATTAACATGAATAAAGTGTTTTTTCAGTTATTTTTTCAAGTGTTGTTACCTCCTCTTATCTTTTTTCATGATTTATATCTAAATAATTATTAGGGCTACACAAATCACCAACGTTTGAGGTGACGGAAAACACAGTTGACTGACACGTTAAGTGTTTAAATGGATAGATTTGACCGGATAGACTGACACGTTGGAGACCTACATCTTCTCCTTTAAATAAAAACTTAATCCCTAAAACTTAAATTAGAGTTTTTTTCATTAAACTTAGCAAACCAGCTCAACTTTTCATTCAACTTCCATTGTAGATTGGTGAAGCTATGCTTTCCACTTTTATTGGAAATCTCTTGGGCTGGTTTTTAGAGTGCTAGCAATTGTGAGTCTGCAATGGAAGCTACGAAAAAACCATGGAAGCTACTGTAGTAGGTTTCAATGGAATGATTATTAACATTTCAATGTTTATAATTTTCAAAAGCAAATTAGTTCTGAGGAAGAAAAAGAAGTTGGTGAAATGTTAATAATCATTCCATTGAAAACCAGTAGCTTCCATGGCTTCTTCGTATTTTCCATTGCAGACTCATAATTGCTAGCACTCCAAAAACCAGCCCAAGAGATTTTCAATAAAAGTGGAAAGTAAAGCTTCACCCATCTACAATGGAAATTGAATGAAAAGCTGAGCTGGTTTGCTAAGTTGAACGAAAAAAACCCTAATTTAAGTATTAGAAATTGAGTTTTTATTTAAAAGAGAAGATGTGGGCCTCCAACGTGTTGGTCAAACTCATCCATGTAAGCACTTAACGAGTCAATTGTGTTTTCTGTCACGTCTGTTAACGTTGAGTGACCAGTTTATAATCAATCGATAACATTAGTGACTGTTTTATAACTTTTGAAACATCAGTGAAAAAAACAAAAGTTGTCTCAAACATTAATGACAATCCGTGTAATTTACCCTAATTATTATTAACATCTTCATTTTTTCTTTTCACATATTTTTGAAGTGTATTTTTGTTTGTCTATATAATAAAATCACTCGTTTGTTTTTATAACATAATTTTTCCATCATTATTATAGTTCACTGTTTTGTGTTACATTCACCATCACACACCTCCGGATTAAAAAAGGTTAATGATCTCTTATAGTTAAATATCATTTTATAATAGTTTGTCGATATATTCAGAACTGTCTTTGGAGTAACATGACAAATTGATTCTTTCAATTTCTACGAGACTATGTCTACATCAATATTGTGTATAGGTTCAAATAGAGACACGAAAGATTTTGATTTTACTTTTTCCATATCATTTGAGTTTCTATGATGATTATATTGCCTTCGTTATACCTTATGATGAGAGGACGAAGAAAGGTAGAAAAGTAAAGATTAAAATAATTAGAGAAAAATGAAAAATGAAGAGAACGTAGAGATTCACCTCTCGTTCGCCGATGCTTAGAATGGTGTTTTCAAAATCTAAATGGTGAAAGGTGAAGCATAGGGGTAAGGGGATTCGCATATTTCAAAATTGGTTTAATCCAATGATGGACGGAGGGGGTGAGGTCGAATCCCTAGAAATTTCAAATTCCTCTATATCTTTAAACATTTTCTTCATATTTTCTATTAATAATTTAATCTCGCAACCTTTGGAATTTCATATTTCGCACCCCTAGTGTTTATAAACTTATATTTTGATCTAAATAAAATATTTAGACTAAATTTAGATGAAATTAGAAGTGAATTTAGGATTAAATTAAATACATAAGTATGAGAATTGAATGTACAAAATAGTTGGATTGTTTTGAAAAACTACTGAAACTGGGGGAGTTATGAAAAAAATTCCCCTTTCAAATACAATCGAATACAAAATGCACTGGGGTTTTGTTTTTCACGACAAAAGAAAGTTATTTGACTTGGTGGAGTTACTTAAGTTTAGTTCGACTTTGGATCCAAGGGATGGTTTTAAATCATTTTGCATTGATGATATATGCAAGTTTGTAGATAAATTTTACCCAAAAGACTTTACCGAGCAGGAAATATTGCAGTTAAAAATTCAATTGGAACATTTTGAATTAGAAAATGAGGGAGCCTTGATTGAGAAGTACATCAACAATTTCAAAACTTTGTCAAGTATTAACAAAGACTCAAAAATCAGTTATTTATCATCTTTCATCTTGTTTTGACTCTTCCTGTCTCTACTACGACCATGGAACGAGTTTTCTTGGTCATGAAGACAGTGAAGATTCACTTGCGTAGGATTAGTTTTTGTCGAGCTACTTTATAACATATATTGAGAAGAAAATTGTACGTGATTTATCAATAGATTCTCTTATTAATGATTTTGATATAACGAAAGAGCGTCGAGCACAATTTTAAACGCCTACTTTTTGACAAGTAAGAATAATAGAAGTGTTTTTTTTTAATTAATAATAGAAGTGCTTGGTTGTTACATTGAATAACATTTTCGGATGTTGTAGGAGCTGATAGAGAAGGCTAAGGGTAGCCAAATTCTCACAACATAAATCATTTTATCTCAAATATCTTACATCAAATCAATTGTAACACACTAATCGGGAAATAGAACTCAACAAAGAAGCAAAAGCATTTCACTCGTACAATTGTTCTAAATTTGCCTGATTTACTATACTGCAAGTTTAGGTATTACCACATTTGGCGGAATTTGATGGATCACTTCTCTGAAAGATTGTTATCTTTAGTTTTTAGGTGATACCAATGGCAGTGATTAGTGGTAAACTATATAGCCTACGTCGTTGGAGTGATCCGAGTGGGTGCTTTCAACCTCGTCATCATTCGGCGACGTCCCCTTCAATATGCTACTTGGAGGTAGGATGGCACAAAACTACTATTATTTCTCATTCAATTGAAGCTTCTGCTCTGTGATTCATTAATTCTTCTCGTTTTAAACCTTTTTTTTTGTTATTTTTTTGTGTTGCGGGGGGTGGGGTTCTAGCAGTTGCAGGGCAAGCCATCCCACAGCCATTTGTGGAGAAGACTGTTGAAGTTGAGGGCTGCTGCCTGGATTATGGGGCCTCGGGTGACCTTGAGGGATGTTTGGGAGGAAAGGTTCATTGGCAGAGGTTGGTCTGGCACTTTTTTCATATTCCTAGGCATTCGGTGGTTGCCTGGATGGATGGCTGTTTTGAATCGCCTCCCTACTAGGGACAGTTTGCTTAGATTTGGTTTGCAGGTGGAGGATGCTAGTTGTGTTATGTGTGGGGGAGAGGCTGAAACTCGAGATCATATATATTTTTTTCCATGGATGTCTGGGGGTGCTGTGTGGGCTAACTAGGCAAGTGTGTGGATGGCATGTTGAGCTCATTTGGGCGAGCAGAATGTTGAAAGGTAAGTCCCTTGTGACTACAATTTTGAAGTTGGCTTGTAATGCTTATATCTATGTTGTGTAGAGAGAGAGGAACTGGAGAATCTTTCAGCATACGTATGCTTCCGAGCAGGAGTTGGTTCTCTACATAGGGATGCGGTGCAGAGTAGGCTGTGGGGAAAAGTTGTGACTAGGGATGGATATTTGTCCAAAAAAAAAATTATTGGAAGTTTTAGCATTTTCAGCGAGTGATGTGAAGGCGATGGAGTTCAAGGAAACTCATGAGCTGCAATGTTATCTGGATATTTGGCACGTTTCACCTGCAATACTCAGAAATTAGACATCTTAGAAACGAGAAAGATGATTAGTAGAAGAAAAGAATAGTGAACCCTTTCCATTAAAGAATCTTTACACCCAAAACAATTCTATATCCTCTGTTCAGTCAGTGACACATTAATTATTTATTTTCTTTTTCTTTACTAAACGATGGCACGATGGGATATAAATTTGCAATAACATTTAGCTTATGGGTTTTGTTCGCCTAGTTTATAAGCTAATATATCGTTTCTCTTTTGTTGCTTATTGCGGCTTTATCTGAATGGATTTATTTATGTTTGACGTTTGATAGATAATGAGATTATTTTAAATCGAGTATTTTGATGAACTCTTAATCTTTAAGCTTGAATATGCTCTTTTCTCAGTTGAAAAATGCACTTCTTCTTTTTGAAGTCCATATATTTGTGTCCGAATTGTCATCTTCAGGAAGATTTAGAGTTTCTTCAATCT